TACAAAAGCAAAAGAAAACTCAGGTAATACTCTAGAAAGTATTAAATCCAATGTGGTATTACCAAAAATAAATATTCCCTTCTTTGATGGCAACTACGAGAATTGGTGTTCCTTCAATGATATATTTCAAAAGGTTATACATGAAACATCATTATCAAAAACAGAAAAGATGCAATATCTGAAAACCAGTTTAAAAGGTGAAGCCTTCAAGTTAATACAGCACTTTAAAATTACTGAAGATAACTATGAGATCGCTTGGAACACATTACAGAATAGATATGAAAACAAGCGCCAGATATTATCCACATTATTAGATAGAATAATAGATTTACCAGTATCCAAACGAGAATCGCCGAATGATATCAAGCTATTACATGATGTAACCACTGAAAGCCTTCAAGTCATAAAGAACTTGGAAGTCAAGACGGATTATTGGGGTCCATTACTAACACGTATCATAATGCGAAAGTGGGATTCAGAAACAAACAGAATTTATGAGCAAAGCCTAACCGAACCAAATGAGATACCACATTTTGAAGATGTCATGAAGTTCATCGAAAGACGAAGCACTAGAAAAATCTAGTACCGTTAAGAAGCCAAATGGGTTCTCCCAGACTGATTTTAAGCCAAAAAATCAAGACTGCGTGTATTGTAAGCAGTTACATAGCATATACCAATGCATAAAATTTAAAACATTGTCTATAGCTGATAGAAACCAATTTATCAGAAACAATCGACTTTGTTACAACTGTATGACACATGATTCAAAGGAAAAATGTCATAGTTCACTCCGATGCCGCACCTGTGGTATGTCCCATCACAGTATGCTGCATAAAGACAGAAAAGAACAGTCAAGGGTTTCAGAACATGTTAGAGTTGCGAGACCTGTTAACAGTTTACGATCCCAGACCAATACTACCATAGTGGCCAGTCAACTTCCTCAATATGAACCTGTATCTACGTCGACACACATGGGAAGAGAAGATAATACAGTGTTAATACCTACGGCTATGGTAAATGTACAAACTTCCAATGGAATGTTCCAACTTCTACGAGTGCTGGTTGATCAGGGGTCGCAGTCATCCTTTATCACCGAAGAAGCAGCACAACTCTTAAACTTACCAAGAAAAAGAATACGAGCAGACATCTCTGGATTGGGAGATGGAGAACCAAAAATTTCTAAATGGCAAATTGAAGCTACAATAAAACCACGATTTTCTAGCAACTATACCTTGACTGTACATCTACTTGTACTGCCCAAACTAACGCAAACATTGCCAAAAGAATTCTTGCCAAACATGGACCTTAATAAATGGCAAAATAAGCTCATAGCTGATCCAACCTGTAACAAACCTGGTCCAATTGATATACTGTTAGGAGCTGAAGAATATGCCAAAATCATACTTCCGGGCCTCCACAAAACTGAAGATGGTATAATAGCACAAAATACCGAACTAGGATGGATTATGTCAGGTCTTGTCCAAAACACTAAGTCGAACCCCATAAAGGTGATAAGTATGGTTGTCCGTACTGAAGAAGATAAACAGTTAACAAAATTTTGGGAACTGGAAGAAGTTAATCCACCCAAATATGTGAACAAAGATGACCAACTATGTGAACAGTTTTATCAAGACACTACCAAAAGAAACGAAGATGGAACCTACACAGTAAGAATTCCCTTTTCAAACTCGGAATCTACACTAGGCAACTCCAAGACGAGAGCTGTGGCGAGATTGATCCAATTAGAACATAAACTCTCTAGAAACGAAAAGTTAGATACTGATTACAAACAGTTTCTACGAGAATATGCAGACATGGGACATATGACTCAAGTAAACTTCGATAACCTAAACCGAGGAAAGTACTACATTCCCCACCAAGCAGTTATCAAGGAATCGAGTACAACCACTAAACTGAGAGTTGTATTTGACGCATCATCCAAAACTGACTTAAATACCAGCTTAAATGATCAAATGTATGCAGGTCCAAAACTGCAGCAAGAATTATCAGACATTTTACTACGATGGAGAAAACATGCAGTAGCCTTTACCGCAGATATTGAGAAAATGTACCGACAGATCCAGATACATCCTGACGACAGAGATTACCAACGCATTGTGTGGCGATGCAATAGTTCAAACAAAATTGAAGAATATCAACTTAACACCGTTACATACGGAACCAAAGCAGCACCATATCTAGCTATAAGAACATTACAACAACTAGCCAACGATGAAGAATATCGTTTTCCCGATGCTTCCAAAATCATCCTAAATGATTTTTATGTTGATGACCTCCTAGCTGGAGCAAGTACCCAACACGAAGCAGTAAAACTTCAGAAAGATTTAATAGCAACCCTTAAAGCTGGGGGTTTTACATTAAGAAAGTGGTCAAGCAACAGCCCAGAGATCCTTGAGACACTTCCAGAAAATTTTAAAGACAATATAATACAATTGACAGGAGATGAAACAAGGAAGTCCCTTGGTGTCTTATGGTCGCCGATAGACGACACATTCCGATTTCAAACAAATGTATCAAACTACCAAAAACTGACGAAGCGAGTTATTCTATCTGAAATAGCTAAATTATTCGACCCATTAGGATTACTGGCACCTGTTATTATCCAAGCAAAATTACTTATACAAGAATTATGGCTTCAGGAGTTAGATTGGGACCAACCAGTAACCAAACAAACAACTGATCAATGGCTTGAATTTAAGTCTCACATAAAAGCAGTCGAAGATTTTCGCATACCAAGATGGCTGCATTGTGATGAAACCCATACTGAATTACATGGATTCTGTGATGCATCCGAAAAGGCATATGGAGCTGTGGTATACACAAGAATATTTTATAATGGGAAAGTATACATATCGTTGGTACAGGCCAAATCCAAAGTTGCTCCGGCAAGAACGAAGACAACCTTGCCTCGACTTGAACTGTGTTCCGCTGTTCTGCTAAGTAACTTATTGCATAAAGTTAAGCAGACACTCAAATTAAACGATGTCTCCATGTATGCCTGGACAGATTCGATGATTGCATTAGGATGGATACGAGGAGATCCTTTAAGATGGAAGACCTTCGTGGCAAATAGAGCAGTTGAAATACAAAAACTAGTTCCACCGTACCACTGGAGTCATGTAAAATCTAATGAAAATCCTGCTGATTGTATATCCAGAGGAATGGATCCAGTAAAACTATCAAATCACATCTTATGGTGGACAGGTCCTGAATGGTTGCAAGATACGAAGCGATGGCCTAAAACTCCAATAGCTGCTTCTACAAACGAAGAACTAAAGATGTGTTACCATACCAATGTTAAATATAGCGATGGAATATGGTGCAGATTTTCAAGCCTAACACGAATGATTCGAGTCCTATCATATTGTAGAAGATTTTTGAAAGATGTCACCTACAAGGGTCCGTTAAAGTTTGAAGAGACACATAGCACACTTATGCAAATCATAAAACTAGCACAATCTGAAGAATTAAAAGGAGACTACCAATCCTTGATGAAAAGTAAAATGGTACATAAACACAGCAAATTATTGACTCTTAATCCATTCATAGATAATGTAGGAATTATAAGAGTTGGGGGCAGACTGGAACATTCTCAACTATCGTATACTAGAAAACACCCCATAATCATTCCATACCATAGTCACCTCGCCATTCTCATCATTAGAGATGCTCACCAACGAACATTGCATGGAGGAAACCAAGCAACATTAGCCTATCTGAGGCAACGATATTGGATTGTTAATTGCAAGACAGCCATCAAGTCTATAATTCATAAATGCACCACATGTTCACGATATAAGGCACAGGCTGCACACCAACAGATGGGGGAGCTACCTTATCCCAGAGTATCACCAAACCCACCATTTACTCAGACCGGAGTAGACTACGCGGGTCCCATTCAGGTGCGAGCCACTAAAGGAAGAGGACACAAATCGTATAAGGGGTACATCGCAGTTTTCGTATGTCTATCTACTAAGGCAATCCATCTTGAAGTAGTCAGTGATATGTCTACTGACACATTTCTTGCAGCGTTTAAAAGATTTATAGCCAGGCGAGGTTCCTGCTCCCACATGTATAGTGATAATGGTACAACGTTTGTCGGAGCCAATAACCATTTACAAAAGGAAATTACCAATATGGTCAAACAATCAGAAATACAAATCATGATGACGACCACAGGTATTCAGTGGCACTTTATACCTCCAGCATCTCCGCACTTTGGAGGCTTATGGGAAGCAGGAGTTAAGTCCATGAAATACCATCTGAAGAGAACAGTTGAAGAAGCTAAGTTAACCTACGAAGAACTAACTACGCTGACCCATCAAATAGAGGCTTCTCTTAATTCAAGGCCGTTATGTCCCCTGAGTGAAAATATAAATGACACGATTACGCTAACTCCAGGTCATTTTTTGATTGGTAGGGAATTAATTGCACCACCGAATCCAATTGACACCAACATCAACACTAATCTATCACAAAGATGGCGACTCGTTCAGAAGATTAAGACAGATTTCTGGAAAGCCTGGTCCATGGAGTATCTCTCAAGACTTCAGCAACGATATAAATGGAAAACTCAGAAAGATAATTTAAAAGTTGGAGATATCGTCATAATCAAAGAGGACAACATTAATCCAAGTCAGTGGCAATTAGCACGAGTAATCCAAACTCATCCCGCACCTGATGGAACAGTACGTGTAGTAACTCTTCGCAGAGCAACAGGTACAACATTAAAACGAAATACTCACAATTTAGTACCGCTGCCCCTCGAAAATGAGAGAGTTCCTGAGATACCAGTTCCCAACAAAGTTGCTACACGTACAAATGTTAACCTAACCAGGTGTGTTACAAACCTTACCACTAGGTCTATTGATGGTTTTCCTCAAACAAGTCCAAGTACATCTATCTTCATGAAAGCTTCTAAACCGGGTTCAAAAACACACCAGTATCGGAGTACTTATTTATTCCACTTATGCCTATGTATGATGGTAGTTTTATCCGTTATATCAAAAGTCGATTCTAAGTATGTAATACATCATCCCAATCCTGGAATATACGTGGAACATATTGGTCATGCAAGGCTTGATCGAGAAATATTTAGAATCCAGGTAAACTTCGAAACTACTAGGCTCGAACAAGACTTTAAAGACGTGTCAGTAGTGGTACAAGAATTCAATGATCTCTGTAATAAAACCAAGGCACTCTCTGATGAAACTCAATGTACGAGTCTTAGCCGACATCTCATAGACCAAGCAGATCAGCTCAATTGGTATAGAAGCAGTTTGCCAAGGAACAACGGGAATCGCAACAAAAGAGGAATCTTGGGTAAATTCCTAACTAGCGTATTTGGAGTCAATGACGAGGTTTACCAAGACATCAATGCTCTTCAAGAAAATCAACAAGATCTCATAAAGGCATCAAGTCATCAAACTAAATTTATGATTTCGACTATCTCAAAAATCAATGAAACTGAAAAAAGAATCAAAAATCAACTAGAACGCTTCAGAGTTAAACTTAATCAAGGGCTAGTTGCAGTTAATGAGATGCAAAGATGGTACAAATCAGTAGATATAAATAAACTCAATATCCATCTACTGAGCACCTACCAGGTGGCCTGCAATTTTTTAGCGGAGTTAAATGAATATTACTCCAAACTCCTAGACGTTCATTTTAATAGAGGCAGCCTATACGATTTGATATCTCCACCTTATATTAGCCACATCATTGTCGCAGCAGATGATAAACTCCCATCAAATCTACAAATATTACCAACACCGATTTTAAAAATGAAGATGGAAATTAATGAGACCCACATTCAAATCTTTGCATTCTTTCCAATCGTAGATATTACAGAATTCACTCTATTGCAAGCAACACCAACTCCTCTCAAAATAGATAAGGGATTCTACTGGATATTGGATATTCTAAGTGAGATCATAGGAGTGGACTACAATACACAGCTTTACTTCCAATTAACAAGTGAAGAATTTAAAAATTGTATCTACTTGGAGGCAAATCAATATATTTGTTCACCCGCTGTTGTGAAGAACATCGAAACAAATTCAAATTGTGTAATAGATGAAATTTATGAAAGACCAGACACCACTCAGTGCAAGATCAAAAAACATAGAGCTGCCCAAATAACATGGAAACAGCTTCACATGCCCAATACTTGGCTCTTTTTTACCAGTAAACCAGTCAACGTGGCTGTCATATGTCAAGGGATACGAGAAGACGTAAAACTCAATTCGACTGGAATTATTCAGATATCACAGGACTGCATTATAAAAACGAAAGAAAATATTTTATCCCCAAAACGATTGGAAACTGTTCCTGTCCTAGGTAGTTACTCAAAGGCTCTAGCGCCTACTATCAACACTACAATAGAATTGCCATCACACGACACTATCGCCGAAGAAGCTGTGTTTAAACTTACTGATAACTTAAAAGATATACAATCGGAAGAAGAGACACTTCAAACAAAAATTAAAGAAACAACCTGGAAAAAACTACATCAGCATACATATTTGTCTAATGGGGTAACTGCAGTGATCATAGGAATCGTAGCCTTGGGTATATGGTTTGGAAAGCGAATATACAACAAGAGGATCCAAAGAATACAACATCTGTCAAATCAGCCTGAAGTAATCGAGCTCCAGCCCCTGAGATGAATTGGAGAGACGCCAGAATGTTCAATCAGAACATAATAAAATAACATCCTGTACATCAAAGTTTAATTTATTTCACCATAAATTAAACAGTTAAAATTAGAACGTTTCTTGTCGGCGAACCTGAAAATTGCAACTCAGCGAAAACATCGAGTTCGTTGTTTAATTAATTAGCAAAGTTGTTATCTTATATTTAATATTGTTGAAATTTTGTTTAATAATAATAGTTTATAAAAATGTTAATTTTTTTAAAAATAAATGCTTTTTTACCCCACGTTTCGTCTATCTAACATCCTTAAAATTAATATAATAATTATTAAAAAATAGCCCTTATTTTTTAATACAAATTATTCAACTATATTTCGGCCTGTTCCGGATATAAATTTCAATTTTTATTTTATTTTAACTTCATGGGTAGACCTTGTATATCAAATTTTGTTTCATTTAAATTCGCGTATTATACCTGAGTTATGATAGCGCGCGCGATCCGCGCACACCGAGTGGGGAGCCAGCCTGCTTGGGCATAGAGACTGGGATTCAGCATTCAGTATTAACATCATTCACTTTACCGATCTCAACTAGCTTGATTTCATTTTTCCGACCTCGTTAAGTCTGCTTCGTTATACGCCGTAATATCATTGCCGAGACCGTAGTTAGGTACACCGAATTCATGTTCACGTTTTTTTTTTCTGTCGTCGGTTCTTGAGCTAAACGTTTTATTTGATTGAATTATTCCGTTTTCGATTTTATTTAATAGAAATAATAATTGACTTTTGATTTTCGATAAAAATATTTTGATTTTCAGATAAATTATTAAGTTTTGATTTTATTTAGAAACATTGGAAATTAGTTGGTTATTAGGAAGTAGAAATTTTGTTTCTATTTTATTAATTACTTAATTCTCATTGCGACCGTGGATGTTGTTTCTATTTTTAAGTAATAATAAATTTAAATTTAAATTAAATTCCGTATATAGTTAATTACTTAACTTTTAGTACGACCATAAATTTTGTTTCTATTTATTCACAATCTGGTTTAACTTTTTTTTTCCATTTATGTTTCTTTACTTGGAAATAGAATTAGTTCGAAAGTTGGAAAGTTGAAATAGTATCATTTTTCATGTTGAGGGGGACTGGTTTTGGCGAGAAAGCTCACATGGGATTAGATACTATCCCGGTTTTAGATTTTTTTTTAGATTAACCCCTAGCCATGATTAACATATTAGTGTTTTTCTTATGTTTGAGAGGGTTGGTTTTGGCGAGTACACTCATCATAGGATAAATACTGACCTGGTTTAATATTTTGTTTTATGTTTGAGCGGGCTGGTTTTGGCGAGTACACTCATCATAGGATTAAATACTTACCCGGTTTTTGATTATTTTTTTTTAGTTACCTCCGCGCCGTGATTAAAATGATAGTATCATTTTTATGTTGAGCGGGCTGGTTCTGACGAGTGCACTCCTCATAGGATTGATACTATCCCGTTTTTTTATCATTTATCTATTCCCTATTCACTAACACAAGGAGGTTTGTTTCAGTTTCAATACCGACTAGATAGTTAACCAGATAACTTTTTCTAGGACCGTGATTTTATTTCTGCTTTTACGAAACAAAATATTTAGGTTCAATCTTTTTGCCGATTTAACAGTTAACTAGCTAACTTTTGCTACGACCGCAATTATTTGCCATTTTTCTTCTTTAACTGAAATAGTAATTTTGTTTTTGGTTTCGTTTTGGCTCAACTACCGAACCGACAATTTATTAATTAGTTACTATTGCCACCGAGCATCTTTCTTTTAATTTTAATTATACCGTCTGATTGAGACTAATCAAAGTTCACTACTGGCCGATCTGTTTGTTTTTCTTTTTGTTCAGGGTTTTAAAAATACGAGCGAGGGTGGGCGTTGAAATATTACTTACAAATTATTTATTGTAAATAGTTAAATTCAATATATGTGTCAACGTTACCTTGGCTATTACTGAGGTTACTGATCCCTAATTTACTTCCATCTTTATTTCAGCAGTGAGAAATTCTTTATCACCACAAGTAACGACTAAAGCCCGTTACTTGTGGTTACTTATTACCTGTGTCTGAGTGACCAACGACCCCTGGAATTTTTCATCTCCATCTGTGCTGCCCGAGTACTTTCGACGCCGTTTCGAAAGTTTGTGGAGTAAACCATACATAAAATCTGGCGCAAGAGAGCCGTCCCGTCAACAGGCGTCATTTGTAAGTAATCGTTTTCTCTGAGGCGAGAAACCCCCTTATAACATAACAGAACAGTTATTAGACGCGGCAGGAACAATGGGGCTAAACATAAATGAAAAAAAGAGTGAGTATATGCAACTGAAAAACAAACATTTAAGAAAAAATCCTGGAAAACTAGAATTACAAACTAAAACCATATGAAGAATAACAATAGACGAAACAGACAGTTACATGTACCTCGGTGTTCTCATTACAAATAGATGTGAAGAACAAGCTGAAATAGATCTCCGTCTAGCAAAGAGCCATAGATGCGCAGGAGCTTTACATAACTTACTTAAATCTAAAGAATTGTCATGGGAAATAAAGAAATGTGTGTACAAAACAATAATAAGACCTACAATGCTCTACGGTAGTGAGACATGGACACTAAATAAGAAAGAACAGACCAAAATTAAAATATGGCAACGGAAGCTAAGAAGAATAAATATATGGGGACAAAAAGACAGAACAAGGATGGGAAAGACGAACAAACAAAGAAATTTACGAAATATTTAACAAACCCAACACATACGAAATAATACAGTCAAAAAGGTTACAATGGTTGGGGCACTTAGAAAGGATGAAGGACTCAAGGACAGTAAACAGAGTAGCTTGGACAACACCAAAAGAAAAAACAAGAGAGGAAGGCCTAGAAGAAAATAGAGGGAATCGATTATAGAAGATATTAAGGAAAAAAAGATCATCAACTGGAAAGAAAAAGCCAAGAATAGGGACGAATGGAAGAAACTAACAAGGCCATAGACCTTTATGGTCTGTTTCGAGCCTTATATATATATATATATATATATATATATATATATATATATATATATATATATATAAAATAAACTAAGGAATCTTGGGATTTTCAGCAAAAATCTTACAATTGTGTACTCTTTTAAGTTTATTTTCTAACTAGTCGGCAAAGACTAAGCCATTTTTATATATATATATATATATATATATATATATATATATATATATATATATATATATATATATATATATATATATATATATATATATATATATATATATATATATATATATATATATAGATTTCTGTTCCTGATATTAAAAAAAAGTCCAGATCAAAACATGAGGACATAAATATGTAAACCCAATTGGGTCTTGCGCGCGATAGGACAATGCAATTTACCTTTTCCTTGTACTGAAGCTCTAGGCTTAGTGTACCCCTCACAGTTTCTATCCCATCAGATTGATTTTCTTGATGAATTCAAGAATATGTCTGATGGGCGCTTTCGCGATTTCTTCAGGTTCCGGATATTGTACCCCGAAGTACCATTCCCGTTCCCATTTAAGGTTCTGGCAGTGGCATAGTATGTGAATAGGAGTTTCGTCCTCCTCTTCACATATTCTACACATGGAGTCATCAGATATACCTAAGAGATTTAGGTGTCTTCTAAGGCCGCAGTGTCCCGTAAGGAGTCCTATTACGGCCTTGAGTTCGCTTCTGCTAAGGTTTAGCAGTTGATGTTGTCTGCTCGTGGATGGCCCCTCTATGAATCTTTTGGACTATCTAAGTCCAGGAAGTTCCATCCAGAGCCTTTGATGTTCTCTTTTTATTTGTTCCTTTAACACCTTTTTAGTCATCTTACAGAATATTCTCGTTCTTTTCGTGGTGTAAGTTCGAAAGATCCACTTGTTTGTTTTCGTGAATCCTTGCTTGGTGACAAAAGGTAATTATTTAATATATTTGGTTATTTAGAACTGCTTCATCAGTGATTACAGGTTCTACATTTTGTTTGTAGATTATTACGTGAGTCCCACGAATTAGTTTGGGTTGACTAATTTTAAAATGCTCTTTTTTTATACCGCATGCCATTAAAAGCGGCCTTTTTAGTTTTTTTTTTATTTCTAGATTTTTTTCTTTTCCATCTTTTAACAAGGTAACTGAATACTGTTACAAATCTAATCAATCGTTGCAATTATAATAATTGTTTTATATTAAATGTACTTATTTTGTGTAACACATGTTAAGAGATGGAAAGGTTTTTTATATTAGTGACTGACACCGTTTTTTCTTTAATTATAAGAGGAGAGCGGCAACAAAAAGAGGAGAGCGGCAACAAAAAAAAAAGAGATCAGCAACAAAAAGAGGAGATCGGCAACCAAAATATGAGACCGGCCTATATAAAAAGAGGATACGGGCCTACAGAAAGTGGATGCCAGCTAGCTTGCATAAGAACGAAACCTTGAGGGAAAAGAGAACAGTAGTATCTTCTACCCAAGTCAGATAAGTGTCTGCCACTAATACGAAATTTTTTTTTTACCAAAGAAAATCTATAAAGTCAGTATA